CACACACACACACACACACACACACACACACACACACACACACACACACACACACACACCATAAGACAGACTAAATACATATCCAATAATTAAGACAATTTAAATTGAATTTTTGGAGAAAAAAGAACAAGAAGTGTTAGCAAATGTGCATGTTGTTGCTTTCCTTTTAAATGGAAGGCTTGTACTAAAAGCTAATCAAATCAATCGTAAGTAATTATAACTGTCCAAAAAAGTTAGCAATAAAGTTTTCCTGAGATTAAAAAAGCAGCTCTTTAAATCCAATCTTCTCTTTCTTTATACTTCAAAACTTTTTAATCCTCACAAACATTTGCTGAAATATAGAAATGACTTCCCCATTTATTAAGAATAATAATTTTTCCTTGCTGTACTGTATCCCCTGTCTCCCAAGGGAGGCAACAATACCTTCTCACTTTAATATGCGTGTGGTTTTTTTTTCCCCCATCTAATCAGCTAATACTTTTCAAAAGATCTTTTTAATACCTAAATGAAAGGATTCTACCTCAAAGACCTGACCTCCCTATTAAAGTGTCTGAGGCAAACGGTAGGAATGTAAAACCTACTCAAAGGGAAATGGCAGGGAGCTTATTGTACAATGCATTAAGAAAGGAGGGGAGAAAAGCTTCGCAGGAGCTGCATGGAAATTGGTAAAATTATACCACAAAAATACAAATTGATCTTAAGCATAAAGAAGCAAATTCATAGCCAAAAACTTACTCTAGACGCGCCCTGTAATCAGCCAGGAGGGGGCCTTTATGGAAACCATCACAATTTGTCACTTTTTCAATCAAAATTTCTGATTACAGTTTCATGTTTAAAAAGGTCCCAAAGAGAACTACGTATTTTTCAACAGATTTAAAATTTGAAAAATTCAAAGCTAACATACAACACTAGAGAAAAGGTAGGTTTCACTGCAAAGAAAAATGAGAACAGAATTAAATAACACAATACCAGAAAGAACGGGCAAGAAAGTACGACAAGGAGACTTTTCAGAAAACAAGTGAAAAACTTCCCATACCATGAATGTCGTTCTGAAGTTATTCAAGTCATTAAAAAAATCCTCCACAGAAACCTTCTTCATGTCAACAGCGTAGTATTCCATTGTACTCTGGTACAACTGTGTCATGCTATTGAGCAGCTTGGAGAGTGTTTCGTATTGCTCTTTTGCGCTGCTAACAAAGCTGTATATATTTCAGTTAAGGATTTTTGAAAGTTACAAAGTGATGATCTATAAGATAAAACAAAAACTTTTCTACCTCTATATTTTATTCTAATTTTTAGTTACCATTAATACAGCTCCCAAACTGAGCATGGCTGAGAAGAATCTCTATGGCACAGAGAAACGAAAAAACAAAAACCAAAACAAACAAACAAAAAAACGGTAAAAGAATTTCAAGTTAACTTTGGCAAATATCCAAATAAATACTAATGTACTGAGTATTTGTCTTTCATAGTTCAAGAATTTTTTTCTGATCTGCCATAATAGTAATCTATACCACACAACTTGTGAAATAAGAGATTCTAGTTCATCAGTTAGGAATGAGCAAATAGAATATACTGAAATAAAGAATATGAGCACCAAAAAAAAAAAAAAAAGTGAATTAACAACTTAAGGTCAATCCACAGTTCCCATGGGTGGTGTGTTTGTAGACAAGGCCTTCATCTCACTGCCTTGACTGCCTTAACTGTAAAATTGGAAGTATAACGTCACCTTCTCATACAGTTATCGAGAGCAGATAGTTTTAGCAACTTGTCAAGAAAAGTGATCAGGCAGTTGGGAATATATATAAACAACTGGTATTGTTACTGTCCATTTACTCAATTTAAACTAAAGATTCTAAAACCAAGATGGGTGTAGAAGTATATTAATAAATTCATTATGCAGGAAAATTGATGCTTTAAATTCTTTTCTAAAAAATTTCTATATACTTTCTTCTACGTCTGATTAAAATTTATGCTTGCACACATAAAACACATTAGGCAAAGGTGGAGAAAAATATATGGAATTATTCTCACAACAATTTCTGACACAATAAATCATACCATTCTGAAAGACACTGTAGTTAATATGAGAATGGTGAGTCACCGGTAATAACAGATGTTTCCTAAACAGACCACAGGCAAGGCTGGTGGGGAGGGTTTCCTCAAAATGTGTACGGTGAGACGTCAGGGCATGTTATTCACTAAACTGCACACATGCATGTACTTGAACACAATGCTGAGATATAATGTAACAATTTAAGAAGAAATGCTTGGCAAAGGTCTCTGGGTGATTCTGTATTTTTCCTTTCCTGTCCCTAGAATTGCTTATAAGGTTCTGAGTTTGAACCATTGGCACTGCACAAATATTACTAATTTCCTCCCAAGATCGTCAAGAATCCATTTGTTAAACAGTTTAAAATAAAGCCATGCCACGTTGTAGATTTTGAAGTAAGAACCGTAAGTGGGGAAACATCCAAAGTGCATCAGCATATACTTAGAAAACAATTATATTGAAAGACAGAATGGAAAGGATGACGAAGAACCAGAGCTACAGAAATGACATGGTTTTGTCCTAACAGCCAGGGGAGTTTTAAGTTAATTTTTTTATCATTATTATGTATAACACAATTTACTCCAAAAGGAAATGAAGTGGAGCTTTGAATAACGTGAATTACACAAAATAATAGTAAAGTCAGCCATGATTAAACTAAGTCAATTTTGGAAATAGCCAAATCAACCCTTAGATGCTTGAAACAACTGTCTGATAGAGTGGGATAACTGGTTACATGAGTAAGGCATACTACTTCAGTGGTGAGGGTCTCCTCTTTTAAGGGACAGTGAAAGAATAATTATCATCTTCTAAAAGAAAAACCAAAACTAGATGTCCTTGTGCCAACTCTTAAATCCCACTAGAACAAAAGGTGAAAGCCTGGGGCATCCTGGCTCCCCCTGTAATCTCAGCTCTTGGTGGGCTGAGACACGATTACTACTATGGATGTGAGGCTAGCCTGGGTTTCAGTGTGAATTTGTCTCAAAAAAAAAAAAAAAAAAAAAAAAGTAAATGAACACATAAGTAGGAGATAGGGCTGTATCAGTTTTACCAGAATCAAGTTCTACAAATGTTCAGAAAAACATAGAAGACATACAACAAAATAAGCTTTTGATAAAAATGAATGTAAAATGAGTGACAGTGACATGTTACATCTACCTCAAATGTTTCAGCTTGAATCACTGTAATTGTACTATTTTGGAGATGAATGAGATGCAGATCTGTATTCACATAATCTCAAAACCACTAGAGCTAGGTAGCTAAAGTACAACTTGGTACTGTAGCCATTGTCTACCACTAGTGTCGACTGCCCAACTTCCTCTCCGGATACAGTCACAGTATTTCACAGACAACTATTACGTTGCCACCATTGGAAACACACTGCTGCCAAGAGCTGGGGACACAGCTCAATGAATAAAGTGCCTACTGTGCAAGCATGAGGACTTGTGTGGGAATCCCCAGACCCACGTACACGTCAGGTGCAGGGGCAGAGATCTATAATCCCAGAACTGAGAAGAAGAAACAGGTACGCACCTGTAGCTCACTGGCTAACCAACCTGGCTATATGGGTAAGTTCTAGGTTTAGCAAGAGACCCTGTCCCAAAAGCATAAGCTAGAGAGTGACTGAAGAGATACCAGAAACTAACCTCTAGCTTCCATGTGCACATAGTTCTGCTTATGCACGCAAGTGCATATGTGTTTGAGTGTGTATGTGTGTGTGTGCCATGCACGGCGGGTGCGGGGGGAGCACAACCTTTCCATTAATATAATCATCTTTCCATTAACATAATGTTCAATGATCAACTTCAGTGAGATCCATATATCTAACATATTTGACAAGACCTCTATAGAACCCAAGATCTAGCCAACTGTTTCAAAAAATAGTCACAAGTTCACTGCACCTCTAGATACTAAACAAAACAGTATTTAACAACATAAGCTAAGGTTCTGTGGTCATGAAACATACATTACACAATGTGGAAACAGATCAGTAAAAAAAGGCGAGAACTTCCCATAATAATTAACATGAGACAAATGAAGGTTTCTTTTGTTACACAGCAAGACAGAGGCTAACTGAGGAGAGAAGGGAGGAGAGACAGGTTGAAAAGAGGCTGGCTGAAAGAACTAGGTCACTACCTGTAAGAGCAGAGAAGACCAATGCCAGTGGAATCAGGTCAATGTATACTGGAGGATTCAAAGATTCAGTAGTGGGATATTTAACACAAGTCTTTAAAAGGCATTACGAATAAGTGAGAAAAGTAAAAACAAAAACAAAAAATAAAAATAACACAGAGACCACAAAGGAGAAATTCAAGAAAACAAAAGCCAGCTCCTCAATGAGCCAACTTCTCATCCTTCAGCTGGCTTATTCAGGGCAGAGCACTTCTTTCACCCACGATGAAGTTGTACTTTGTAGTGTGACTTCTTTGATGCTGTCCCTCTCACCCCCAAAAGAGTTTTTAGATGCGTTTCCTACAAAATGTGCTCCCAACGATGTTGAGTATTGTAGACATAAGTCATTTGGTGAATTTACAGGTCCAGTTTAAACATCTACTCTGTAATTTCAGAAATTCCTAGACATGCTATCTTGCAGAACTCAATGAAATGAAATAAAAATAAAGTAAAATTTTGATGATGACATTAAAAAATACAATATGGGAAAGTATCATGAAATGTGGTACACAATTTGTGCTCAATACAAAAATATACAAATGTCTAGTAAATTAATTTTTCTTAAGAGACTAGGAGGAGGAGGAGGTAGGGAAGAGAAGGGCATGCTCTATGGTCTACTTGTTAGTTTTTTGACAAGAAGAAAGGCTGCAGAATTTAAGACCAAGAAAGGAACAGACACAGTATGCCATGAACCCTGGCATTTTCTCATATTTCTCGGTGATAACAAAGTACACTTCACACACCTTCCATATACCAGCAGGTGAGCATACCTTAAATTTATGTTTTACATTTTTTAGATAAATGTTTACTGTGAAGCTATTCAATTCATTATCATTCTGGTTAGGCTTAGAAAGTGGGAAATAATATGAGAAGGGTAATGACATGAAATAACTATACATGCATTTTAATGATGAACCCCAAACATTTTTGTGGGGAGAACGCAGACACAACAGGCGAGAATGTGCTGGAAGAAGAAGAACATGGTCTGAATTAATGCCATTAGTGAAATCTCATATAACAAAAGTTATCTGTTTCTTTAAAACACTTTAATTAACAGATTATTTAATATTTTATTGAATAATTGTTTAAAATGAATATTTACTTGTAAAGATGCATTTTTAACAAACTAAATGATATACAATATTCTTCCAGAATTGGTTGTAGAACAAAGTTCTTGATATGTACTTCAATTCATATGCTTTTCAACATAATACATAAACAAAGTTTGAGTACTAATAACAACCTTCAGTTAGTATGTTTTTATTCATTGTGCATTTTTGCTTCTAAACCCTTCTATTTTCTGAGATCCAGGAAGCTCACAATTTGCCATTTTAATAAGATCTGTATAAATGCATTTAATATTCAAAATCTGACTTGTCAGTCCTAATTAAAGTAAACAAAGTCTTGCAATGAATGAATTTAATTACTTCAAAACTAGTATGTCTAACTAAGATGAAAAGCAAACGAATGCAGTTGAATCTTGGCAAAGAATATTTATGATTATAAGCTTTGTCAATAGCAGAGTGCACCAACTGTTCATATATCTGACTTCCAAGAGACACATGAATGCTAATCAGTTCATTAGAGGCTTCTAGGTTGTGATATTTAGCGACAGGATATAGTAGCTCTCCTGTCCATGGAGTGTAATTTTACTCATAATGAAAAACTGTTTCCAGCAAAGCCTCATCCTTCCTGCTTCTGATTTCCTGCTGGCTGCGTTTTATGAGCTGCACACCTTACAGGAAATCAACATCATTCAGAACTTGTGTCATATGAATACGGGTAGGGCTATGTCCTGAGACTGTCTGCTGAGCAGGATTTTACTGCAAGCTTAGGAATTCATGCTAGTTTGAGAAACCCAAGCTTCCTAATTAGCTACTCACAGTGTATGACGAGAAGCTACCTTTGAACAAAATCTTTTTTAAGATGAGTTTTATATCTATGGGGAACAAAACCGAACAAGTTCAGTTAACAATGCTTATAGATTAAAAAAGAAAGTCACATGTGCATTTGTTAACCTGATAAAATGATTGAGAAACAAATCCAAGAATAATTATAAAAATATAACTAATTTGTCAGTTGAAAGGTTCACTCAAATCTATTCTTCTGATAGATATTTACTTAATCTTTAGTCTAAAAACAAAAAGAAATCCTTAGTAAGTCTAGTAACAGAGACAACCCCTTTAAAAGGAAGCTGGGTAGGACATAAGATATGAGAGGAAACAAACACATTATCCTGAACTGATTGCTACTGAGTGCATTTTTATATTTCCTGACAGAGATAGAGAAGGAAGATAAAATTGAACTAATTCACAATTAAGCTGAAAGCACATATAATAAAGTCTATGACAAACCAAAAAATAATTTTCTGATTCACTAAATCTCAAGGGAGAAGCAGAATGAGGAAGTCATTTTATTTCAAGTACATCAGTATAAAATATTACGGAAGGCTATTTTTAAGTTCTCATTCTAGAACTTGGTTGTCCTTTCATATAGAATTCAGATATCCATATGGGATTTTAATAATGCATTATCACAATATTTCATTACAATGGAAAAGATATCCATTACCGATTTCATACTGTGGTCTGCAAAGCAACTTAACTTTAGCTTCAGGAAATAAAGAAGTTCATTACTTCACTAATTAAAGACTAAGCTACAAAGTTATCGATAACAAAGATAAGTGAATACAGAGCAAACTGTAAATCAATGAGACACAAGCATCACGCTATTAATTTACATACATTGTTTTCAATTTCATTTTGAGTTGGGAGAAAGCACATATAAGCAGTAATTGTAACAAGCTTTTTTTAAATTTTGGAATGACAGAGTGTGTCTAAAGGATACACTCTGTGGAGTCAGAGTTAATTTCTAATGCATATCAACCCTTGAGCTTGTTAGTCATGCTAGGATTTTATAGTCTATACCTGGTTCCCGAAATAGTCCAAAAGTAGCTAAATCACATTAGATTCAAACTTCCTCAAACTAAGTTTTAATATTCTTTATCAGACAGAATAAGGCAAACAGAAGGAACACGATGAAAAAAAGATTCTATTATTCAAGAAGATGAAAAACAAAAAGTAGAAATCCTTCGTGCATTATTCATGATAAAATACACCTTGGTTAATTTACCTGAAAGATAAAAGTTAAACCTTTAATAAATTGTCACTATGTAATTTACTTTAGTTATACAAACACACTTAGAACACTAAAAAAAATTGTCAATCCAGTTGACTACAGACTTATTTAGATATCAAAAGGATATGGACATCTTTATCAAAAACTTGTCATGCAAGTCCTCGGGAGGGGGAAAGGTTTCCAAATCCTTCTCAAGCTGTTGAAGCTGCCTTCCCATCTGCTTCAAATTCTTTTCCAGCATTTCTACAGAGACTAAAAGAGAGCATATTAAATGCCTTGAAAGGACAAAATTATAATATATAAAAGGTAAAACAATCTAGCAACAAAATATTTGTAAAAAAAAACATTGTAAGAAAATTTATCCTAAAACATTCAATTTCATCAAATTTAATCTATACCCTTTTGAATTTTAAATCCAGAGAGAAAATAAACCAAAGAAGTTCCTACATAAGCCAATGCCACTTAAGAAATAATTGTTTAATGAGGCTGGGCGGTGGTGGCACACACCTTTAATCCCAGCTCTCGAGAGCCAGAGCCAGGCAGATCTCTGTGAGTTCGAGGCCAGCCTGGGCTACCAAGTGAGTTCCAGGAAAGGCGCAAAGCTACACAGAGAAACCCTGTCTCGAAAAAAAAAAAAAAAAAAAGAAAAGAAATAATTGTTTAAAAGTAGACATATTAACTACTACAAATAGAACAAAATTATCTAGTGAGATAAGGGCAAAGGAAGGCCGTCATTTGAAATGCTGAACTCAAATACAATTGTTATATTTTCCAAGATATCTCTTGAAAGAACTGTGATTAGTTGGGAAAGATGTGGTAAAAGTATCTATTGGTGAAACTAATCTCTCAATGGAAGGACAGGTAAGGGAGGACATTTAAGATGACAGAGACTCTTTACCAGGAACTAAGCACTAACAATGTTTATTATTTAATTACTAACAGACTCCATCTTTGAATTAAATCTGTTCTCACAATACACATGAATGGCGCATAATTACCAAGAGTACTGAGGCATAGGCAGAATGAGCTGACCTTGCAGCAAACAATAAGCATTAAAAATTCTCAAGTCTCTGCAGAGTCAGTCACTTTTACATGACTAAGGTAAGAAGTTACTATTACATAAAATAGACACAGTGGCCTTAAAACACCTTTATGGATATTTATTTGCTTTAGGTTTAGATAAATTTTAATAAAAAATCTTATAGATGTGAATTATATAAAATTGTTCTTACATGAATATAAAAATTCTAAGTATTTTTCTAACTTTGAATTAGTTGTGAGGAATGATTACAGTTTTACCTATAAGTGTCGACACACTCAGTGAGATGACCTAAAGGACCAGGAAAATGGAACCTGGTTTAAGAAAAAACAACAACAAACCCAACAATTATAGTTTACCTTCTTGGTACAAAGAATGCCAACAGGAAAAAAGAAAGGCAGGTGGATCTCTAAGCTCGAGGCTAGCCTGGTCTACAAAGTGAGTTCCAGGACAACTAGAAGTGTTACACAGTGAAACCCTGTCTCAAATCCCACACCACCACCTGAAAAAATGATGTATAAGAACATAAAGGGGTGTTTGTGGTATTTTTATATAGTTATATACAAAACAATAGTCACATCAACGGCTTTTTAACAAAATCGTAACATATACTTTTATGTTAATTAACAACCTAATTGTTAGATATAACAATTACTGAGTCAAAGACTGAGTTACATGTAATAGTTGTCAAAAGAATGATGATACTATAGCCTTTGGCTCATACCATGGTGAAGCCATTCTCAATTTATATTCACAAGCATTTTCCTAAAGGATTTTCTTCTTTTCTGGTATATATCCTATAGAGTTTTTTCAAAATGAGGTAAGGGCTAAGATTATATATCCCAGAGACACAGTACATGCTTAGTTTACAGGAGGCTGTATGTTTAGTTTTACATACCAAATTAAAAATAATGATACAGTACCAGACAATGGGTTGCATGAAATGCTTCCACTATGACAGCAGTTAATGTACTAATTGATTCTAGTTAATTCTCTTTGCCAGCATGTTGCTATACACTGTCTTGATAATATATTGTTGCAGGATATTTGATCACACTGTGTGAAGATGTGTCTGTTTTACCTCACCAGCCTAAGTCACCTTCTGATTGGTTCAATAACGAGCTGAATGTCCAATAGCTAGACAGGAAAGGATATGAAGACCTTCAATGGAAAGAAAGCAACTCAAAGGAAGAACCTGAGATTCTGGGATTCAGCAGCCTGATTCAAAGGAAGTAGAACATATTGTAGTGAGAAGAGGTAACAAGCCATGTGGCATAAAACAAAATAACATAAATGGGTTAATTGAAGTTTTAAGAGCTAGTTGGGAACAATCATAAACAAAGGCCAAGTTTTCATACTTAATAAGAAGTCTCTGAGTCATTATTTGGGAGCTGGTGGTCCAAGGAAAAAAAGGCTACAATGTATCATCTTATGTCTGCTTATCAAGTATCCACAACCATGGCTTTTATTTGATCAGATCTATAATGCTTCATTTACTTTTCTTACTTCCAAGTGGTTATTTTGCTACTTTCTAAGTGCTCTCTCTGAATTACATAAAAGATACATGCTGTGGGATAATGCTTTTGTACATTGATTTAATAAAATGCTGATTGGCAGGAAGTATAGGTGGGATAAGCAGACAAGGAGAATTCTGGGAAGAGGAAGGCTGAGTAAGGAGACTCCAGCCTGCCGTCCAGGAAGCAGCATGTAATGGCACACAGGTAAAGCCAAGGAAAATGTGGTAACATATAAATGAACAGAAATGGACTAAGTTTAAATGTAAGAGCTAGTCAGTGGTAGGCCTGAGCTAATGGCTGAGCAGTTTTAATTAATATAAGCTTCTGAATGATTATTTTATAAGCGGGCCATAGGAATGCAGGGGCCTGGCGGGACCAGAGAAAAACTCCAATTACAGATACATTTTGTTCTCCTACTCCATTTGATCCCTCTTCTAATATCTCATTAGTAATTTCTCAAAGAAATCTCACTAGTGGTTCAGTAGTCTTGCTGGGGGATGTCTTTCTGTACGCTGTGAATATATATTGTTCCTACTGGTTAATAAATAAGCCGCTTTGGCCTATTGCAAGGCAGCTTAGAGGCAGACAGGAAATCCAAGGAGAGAGACAGGAAAGAGAAAGGTGAAGTAGGAGAGACTCCAACCTGCCACCCAAGGAACAACATGCCAGCAGATTGGTAAAGCCATGGAACACGTAGCAAAACATAGATTAATATAAACGGGTTAATTTAAAATATAAGATCTAGCAAGAGGCCTGTCACAGGCAATACAGTTTATAAATAACATTAAGCCTCTGAGTGATTATTTTATAAGTAGTTGAGGTACCACGGGGCCGAGTGGGACTAGAGTAAACTTACATAGTTTTTATACTTTTAAAATTTTTATATGGAAAATACTATTATGTAAAGATTATAAAGAACAACAAATATTTTTCATTAACTAAGTAAGTGCTCAGTAAGGTTTGAAATCCTATACCAGTTTGTGCTATGGATTCCATTTTGAAAGTTCATTATTACTACTGCAATAAAATAGTAATCACTGCAGTAGTCACTATAATAAAAACAGTACCAATGACAATAGTAGCCCTTGCTAAATAGTGATGTATGCCTGATCTGTCTTGTTCTCCATTAATACTCAAAAAAACATCATAATCTAGGTCTCATTAGTGTTCCCAGTTTACAAAACAAGGAAAGCGAGGCTTAGTGTGCAATAAAAGCACAAACAACTAAAAAGTGCAATGTGATTTTTTTAAAAAGAAACACAAAATAGTATCCTACCACTGAATAAAAACATACTCAAAATAGTATATTAGGGAAAAATCTAGGGAAACAACATATATGAGTCTGAGGACCCTCATAAATCAAGACACAAGGGAAATGTTGGGAAATATGTTTAACTGGTAGCTCAAAACAGATGCTCAGCCTGAAGCTTGGCTGAACACATATTTACTTAATAAAATGTGTTTACGTGGTTTAGAACCTTTGTTTAATAAGGGGTTTGATAGTTTCAGTAAGTATAAATGTTTCCGAACCCCTGTAAATGTTCTAAAGAACGTATAGAGAAAATGGTTCCCCATCCTGGAAGTCAACAAGCGTGAGTCTGAGTAAACAACTAGGAAAACGAGACAAGTGCTGAGGGAGAGCACAGCGGATGTTGTTACGGTGGGGCTGCTAGTGCTTAAGCTGTAGTCGTTTTCTTGTACCAGATAGAGACTTTTCCAACACTAACTATGTCTCTTCATTTTTTTTTTACAAGCGGATTTCCCACAATTCAATGGTAGGCTAACACTAATTATAGAAAGTTAGTGGCATACTCAGAACACAGATTCAAACCCATAAGACAATCTTCATTTCAGATGCCAATTTCAAGTCTAGGCAGCCATCCATACCTCTGAACTGGCTGGAAATTTTAGAATCTTTCCAGGCCCTTCCCTAAAGTTCCAGAGTTCATTAGGATGGCTCATGAGCTTGGGAAAGTGCAGTCCTTATAGTGGCAGTGTTATTAAAACGGACATGACACAGGAACAACCTAGGTAAGGAGAAGCCCACCCCAGAGGACAGGAGACTGGGCAGAGTTCCCTGCTCTTTGGGCATGCCACCCTCCCAGAACATCTGGGGGCCCACAGACCTGGAAGCTCCCTTAGACTCTTTGCTTCAGTCTTTCCTGGAGTGTTATTACAAGGCAATGGTAATTAAATCACTGCCCATTAATGACTATCTCATGCTCCATAGCCTCTCCTTTCGCTCCCTAGAGGATTGGGGGGAGGGAATGTTAAAGTACTCATCCTCAACTCACATAGTTAATACTTCAGAACACTACTCCCCAGTGAACAGAAGGCTTCTCTAACCAGCTTGCTTACTTATGATGTGGAACAAATTCTCTTACATTCTATTTCAACATCAGTAAAAACAGAATATCTCACCTCAAATTGTTACCTCACTGACATTTCATAAGAGATCAAATCTACTAACATAGAATAAAGCCCATTTTGTATTATGTTTTTCTTATTTGTAGAAGTGAATAAGAAATTATAAAGCTTAAAGTTAGAAATGAGTGATGCCAACACTTAAGAAACAGTAAGGAAGTCATGGAGTTCAACAATACTAATACTTTGCAGGTCAACAGGACATTGAGACATCGGTCTAAAGAAAGTCAGTGTGCTCCGGAGCAAAACATTAGCAGTGTTTGGGGGCACAT